TTTGGTTGTTTTTAGCTGTTCGCGATTTCGGATGTTACTGTCTCAACCTCTTAAAGATAAATTAATTGTTATTAATATTATTATTATTATTATTATTATTATTATTATTATTATTATTATTATTCAATAATATTATTATTTTATTTCAAATTTCCGATTTTTAATTTAAATTTACTTATTGTTTATAATATTTTGCACAGTCAAGGAGCAGTTCAGGAAGCATTTCCCTGTGTGTTGTACTTGTATGACTCTATGAATCTTGAAATCTCGTATTATTACTATTACTATTATTACTATTCTTCTTCTTATTATTGCTATTATTATTAGTAGTGGTATCACTCCCCCTCTTTTCCCTGACATGCAGAACACATATTTCAGGTTCAGGCAATGTGAAGAACCTTTTGGACAAACGTTTGAGTTTGGAGTCTTAAAACCAAATCGTTATCCGGATTACCACAGATCGATGCCTCGCTGCGTTCATGAATATCGGAGACATCACTTGTAGGATAATGAGGCTAATTTAAGACGTTAAAATCTTTGGCTTATCAGTTGAATAAAACACAACAGCAACTTTGACTAGTACTGCACAGTATTACAATCATCATTGGTATTTGTTGGATCCAAGAAGAAAAGATACAAGTACTACAATTAGATGGTTCCTTTTCATTCTCAACTATGAGCGCACTGCGAAACATATCATAATGTTCACTGTAGATCTAAAAGAGAGAGAAATATGGAGTTTCAGGAGTTCCGAGGAGCTCGTAAAGGCATCGTGCGTATCACATGGCAGGTGATAGAGCTGAGGGAGCTGGCGCTACAGTGCAGCGCAGGGTACAGACAGACAGACAGTTAACACAGGTCAGGGCACCTTGCGCGCACGACTGCTGTATGTACGCGTAATGGCGCGTTTGTGCCCTCTCACTTTATCTTCAAGCGTCTCCCAGAAACGCAGTTAAAGGATTTGTTTGGACTGCGCGTCAGAGGGTCGCACAACGTGAGTAACATGACTTTAATGTAGTAGTTTCCCCGCATCTCTAATACATTTAAACTCCAACTTATTTTTCTGTGAAAATAGCTTTTTCATTTCGGTAATTACATTTTACAAGTTGTTGTTTTGCTGCAACAAAAAAAAGCACCAAATATTTGACAAGTTGTCTCATTCCTGAGTAATTAGCGTTCAATATGTGCAAGTTAAAGTGCGGCTAATGTTTTTGTCTTCTTTTACTTAAAAGTGAATTTGTGGTCCGAGGTTCGCAGATAGTGCTTATGGTGGCACTCAGTTATGTCAGGAGAGACTTCAGCACAGCCTGTATTTCAAATATTGTATTAAGTCTTAAAAATGCTTCACTGATAATCCTGCTGGGGTTGTGCTGTGAGCATATCAGCCTTTCTATTAAGAGTAATTGGGACATAAGGTTGAATGGGACAGTATAAGTATACATGGTTTGTTTTCTTCCTTGTACATGCAAAATGACAACTTCTTTTTCTAAGGCGGAGCTCTGAAACCAAATAATGAAAAATAAATGTGCAAGCTGTTGTGGCATACACGGGTGGGCGGGGCTAGCTTCAAACAGAAAAGCATAGGCTGAGGAACTTAGCATACGCATAAAGGTAACATGCTGCTGTTGCTGCTGCCGTAAAAAGGTATTACATAGGTATTTTTGATTGGTCCTTTCACCTTACTAACTTCGCAGTAGAGACGAACTTTGCATTTTGCAGATCAGTGACCTCCGACACCCAGTCACTCAGATCTTCTACAGAATGTAGTAATGAAGTCTGTATTCTGAGTCACTACATGGCACAAATGCATGACACACCTAACAGAGGTGGGTACTTTAAAAACCCTCACCTCGCCCACTGAGGGCCGTAACAGTACCATGACAGTACTCAGCTATTTCCACTAGTAAGTGATTTCCTGTGAAAGTGAGGCAGTTTTATACCGTAATGACTGTGGACAGAAATGTGATAGAAAAAAAAGCAAAATTATGTCAAAGTAAAGGACAAGTATGACACAAACTGTGCAACATGCTGTAAGTTTCTAGCAAAGCTGAAATAAGTAGTCAAATGTTCGGTCCCAACAGGGAGATGTTACGAAAATGGTGCTTTGTGTCTTTTTACACAAAAAGGGTTTGGTGTGCTTTCTTGGAGTATGATCTGCTCTTAATTCCAGCTCAAATAGATGCTAAACCTCTTCATCTTTACAGAATATCACATAGTGGGCCGAAGCTTTTCTTAGAATTTACAACAAGAAAGTTTACACAAGCCAGAAATTCCAAAATCATCCCCGTCACCCTTAATTTTCCCTACATTGTATATCCCATTATATATATTTTTCTACATAACAACAAAATGCAACATGGTCTGTTGGAGACAACATGGTAGTTTCACTGTGACACGGGTGTTTCTCCGCTTGCTTGCTCAGTCATGTACTGTCAGCTCGGAGCTATTAAATGATGTTTAGTTGCACCGACACATGCTGTGTAATTGCAGATCATCAATTTCTGACAGCGTGAGTAAAATGGAAAGGGGGCGGGTGAAAGAGGGGGGACGCTGATATGCTAACAGCAGAATATCAAGGTTGATGTGTGGCCCCCCTTCGCTGAAGCATCTGTTCCATCTAGACAGAGTACACACACACACACACACACACACACACACACACACACACACACACACATGCACGCATAAACATCAGAGACATGAGAGAGCTGAAGGAGCCTCCTGCCAGTGAATACATCAGGCCGGTGCCTCCTTTCTGTTGCAAATCTCATTTTAAAAAGAGACGGAGTTGAAAGGCATCATTGCCGCTGACGACAGTGAACTGATTAACGCTGCTGAGGTTGGCACTTGGGTGGCATTAGCACACGGAAACAGAAGAAATGCACACAGGAGCTCGGCTGAAGTGGCAGTTGATAAAAGCCCTAAATTGGGAACATTTATTGTTGCAACAGTTTATTTTTGACAATAGCGCTCATCGGCTTGTCGTGATAGGTTTACGCAGGGTGCACACACACTGGGTCAAGCAGATGATGGCACTCATTTCTGTGATCAAAGCTGCTCGTCTAAGTCCCAGAGTGGCCATGTTCAGATGATTGCTCTGTCATCTTTACAGCCGCTGCCGTCCACGGCTATGGTGTAGTTCCACTGCTGCTTAGAGGGAGAGACAAAGGAGAAGAGGAGAGATATGGGTGAGAGGAATGAAAGCGAAATAGCAAAAAGAGGAAAAGCGTAGAAACCTGAAAAGACAAAGTCAGGCTGTTAATCTTGCTGAAGTGAAGGAGTGAAAGAAAAGTGTCAGAGAGAGAAAGAGGAGAAACTCTGGCTTGTCCGAGGCGATCTTTGGCTTTCTTTGTCGAGGAATGTGAAGAGGTGTTAGAGAACAGCAGAGGCTAGATGCTGCTCATGCTGTGTTGTCCCATTTAAGAGAAAATAAAGTAGTAAGAAATTTGCGGATTCCAGGAGGAATAAGCAGAGCAGAAAGAAGGTAAACGAAAGGATTAGGTTTTTCTTTGGTTTTTCAGCCGCTATTTTGCTCCTTCTCAAATCCTCGCTGCAGCAACGCAGTGTGCAAGGGATGAGTTAAAGGTTTAACATTTGATAAAAGGGAGTACTGTGTTGGTGGAAGTGCTCGGTAATGTGTAAAAATATGCAAATGTATCATGTCAAAGTGTTATGGAACTTCAGCACATCTTTAATCCCCCTACTCGAGTGCAATAAGTGTGCAGCCTGCGGTGTGTGGATACTGGAGGCTGCTCTAGAAAGGAGGTAAAACTAATGACTCACTCACACTTGACACTTTATTAGGCACACCTTTCTAATAACAACTCTCACCCCTCTTTTTCCTTTAGAACTGGCTTAATTGATCAAGGTGCAAGATTTGGGTCCATACTGGCATGATAGCATCACACAGTTACAAAAAATGGAGACACCGTGGTCATGGCCACTGAGAATAATGAAATAGGCTGGGTGTTTAAACAATGCTCGGCTGACAGCAGGATGTATCGAAGCTTTCATGTTGTTCATGCCAAATTCTGACCCTTCCATCTGAATGTTGCGGCACAAACTGAAACTCATTGGACCAGGCAACATATTTCCAGTCTTCTGTTGTTTTCATGATCCTGTGGGAACTGCAGTCTCAGGTTTTTGATCCTAGCTGACAGGAGGGGCACCTGGTGTGGTCTTCTGCTCCTTCTTTGCCCATCTGCTTCAAGGTTCAAGTTTTTGTGCATTCAGAGATGCTCTTCTGCATAACTTTGTTTTCAAGACAAGAGTGGTTATTTGAGTCCTGCTTTGTTACTGTAAAACTCCCCCATTAGCTTTTGTATGACAGCCTGAAATATCATTTTTATGCTCATTATGCAACTTGATCTGATTAAGAAAAAAAGGTGGGGGGTTGTTTGAGGGGGTTAAAGCAGCTAACGTTTGCATCGAGGGTTTATCATTTACCCTTTGAAGAAGGGTAGATGATAAACACAATAAGATTTAAAAGCAAGTAAAAAAGTCAAACATGTTTAAAAATAATAGCCCCATATGAGGGGGCAAACCATACCGGCTCTGGTGGCTCTTTGTGCTGTCTCACCTGCCTTCCTAGAGGCAGGGAAAGGAAAGACAGAAGGCTAATAGGCAAGTGCAAATGTAGAAAAATAAAAGCTGTTTGTTAAATGAACATTACAGTAAACTTATATTCATACGTATTGATTTACAGTGTTATTTAAGTGGATATCAAGAAAAGCCATTGAAGATAAAAGCTTATATGATTTGATTTTGGTAGGTAAATCTTGTTGAGTTGTTCTGAGACTGTTAGATGGCACTGCACTTGAGCAATTTTGTCCACTTTTCTGGATTAATGGGAGTAAACATTTGTTTTTTTAAGGGGTAATACATTCAAGTGTTTTGTACTGAAGCTGCTCGGTTTTTTATGGCATTGAAACACTCATGCACATGCATGGGTCTGGGCATGCGAGCGAGTCAGTGATCGAATCTCACAGTTAGACTTGTCAGAAATGATATCAAACAAAGCAGCTGATGAAGAGAGCAGAGAGGAGGTGAAGAAGAGCTTTACAGGGCAATAAATCGGGAAGTAAGGAGAGGGGAGGTGCACATTTAAGGTAAAGAGTGGTGAGTTTAAGGACACTTTGACAGCAGGAGTTACGTAATAAAGTGATTCATTTAATGAGATGCCAACTCCTGGGTAGATTGTGGCATAGTGTTCACGCGCACTTGAATGCTGCAGACCAGCAAGCTGCCAGAAATCCTGCTTTTATAGATAATCAGTTAATCAGATGCTTGATTGGCAGCACCTGACTGCTATTTACCTACTAAATTCCAATGAAGCACTAGTGGTGTGTTCACTGCATAGAGTCCTATAGTCTTGATTATTAATATATATTAGTATAAAGAAAAGGTATTCAGAGCAACATTTGCACTATTGGTGCATGGATATTTTTATATTTTATATTAAATAAGTCTTCTTTTCTTTTCTGTTTACATCTTTGAGTTGAAGAAAGTAGAGCTGTGTTGATATCAGATTTTCACAGACCTCCCTAAGAAACTTATAGTGGCTCAAGATTTTAATAGAAATAATAATTTAATAGCAATAATGCTGTGATTCAAACTAATTTATCTAGAACTTGGTTTATTATTCTTTTTTTTTAATGTTTTGGATAAAACATTTAAAAAAATGCAAAAACTGTTTGGTCTTTGAATCTTGCAGCACGTTATTGCTTCATCTCCTCGTGAACAGTGAAAATGGTCAGAATACAGCGTATACCTAAACCTACAGTGATTCCTTTGAGTGACTGACATTTGCTGGGAGTGTCCACAGCAGTATGTGGCTTTATGTCCTCCGCTATGTACACAGATGGACTGCTATACAGTTCATCTGTGTACATATGTATACATTGGTACATCTCTCCGTAGTACATCTGTATATTTGCTCTTTGTATAGCAATATAAACATCTATATACTTCACTTATTTGTACATAATCTGTACA